AGGCTAAAAATATTAAGAACATTAAAAATATTAGAATATTTAAATATTGATATCTATCTAGTACTGCTTTTAAAAAAAAGATTCACAGTTGAGAATAAATCAGGAAAAGCTTTGAATAAGCAAAAATTAAGGGATTTCATTTTTTTAGAGGAATATTCCATGCTTTCAAAGGAAATAAGACACCCCAATGTTAAATGTGCTGCAAGGGAGCATCTGTAGACCTGCATTGTGCAGAGGGTTCCATGTGGAGCTAAAAGAAATAAAGGGAATTACTGGTGACATGTCTCCCAGCTTCTCATTCTGAACTTGATATTTTGTATTTAGGGGGCGAGGTTGCATGGCAAGAAGGAGGTAAAACTGATTCTTTAAGACTGGCTTATTGCTGGGCATTGGAGGCACACGCCTTTAATCCCAGCACTCAGGAGGCAAGCAGGTGGATCTCTGAGTTCAAGGCCAGCCTGGTCTACAGAGCAAGATCCATGACTGCCAGAGCTACACAGAGAAACCCTGTCTCAACAAAAATAACAACAAAAAACTGAATTATTGATGTTTCAATGCAGATGTGAGCAGAAAGAGACCCTTTTTTATGTGACTGTTGATTAAGAAGGAAAGGGGGGGGGGAAGGAAGAAAATGCAAAACTAAGCAATTACCAAAGCAACTGTCAGGTGTGGGTGGTAAATCATGGACCCGAAGAGGGACAGAAAGATGTCTAGAGGGAAAGTGTCTAATCCTGAGTACTAAATATCAAAGCAGCACCCGGCTGTCATTTTTTGTGAACCCCCACCCCCCACCCATTGTCCTCAATTCTACAGGGCCTTGAAACTGCAGTTGTGCTCAGGCCCCAAGGCATGGGCTTCACCTGAGGCCTAGCTAGCAGCTCAGCCCTCCCCCATCCACGGGTCTGAATTTTAACTAGATCCTGAGAAGGTTTTGTTTTTGTTTTGTTTTATTGTTTTTGTTTGTTTGTTTTTGTTTTTTTTTTTGTTTGTTTGTTTTTTAGCTGTGGTGGGGGCACTGCCTATGGAGATCAGGGGACACCGTGTTCCAGCAGGTTCTCTCCTTCCACCATGTGAGTCCCAATATTAAACTCGGGTCACCAGGGTTGACAATGGGGTCCTTACCTACTGAGATACCTTGCTCTCCCTCTCCCCATCTTAGGTGATCCTTACAAATATTCCAGTTGTAGAGAAAATTCACAATCCACTGGACGTTCCCCACAGTGGTCAAGTCTATAATCCATGCATCAGTAAAACTCAGGCTGGAGGATGAGAAATTAGAGGCCAACCTGTAGGCACAGCCGTTTCTGAAAAAGAGAGACACTCATGGAGAAGGAGAGAATGTCAGATGAAGATGTATATTGTGTTAGTGCTAGATGGCCGTGACAACAAGTCAAGGAGGTGGTTATTGTGAGTGGGGATAATCAGGAAATAAAGAGAAGGGAAATGCACTTGATGTATTAGGGCCGAACCAATATGATACTTACACTCACTGTACATTTTGGCAGTTTTAGCTAGTGGTAGCCTGAAACACAACAGGCGATACCTTTTAGACAACAAATCAAGGCAAACCAGGTGGTGGTTTCAGCCTCTGGAGAACAAAGGGCCACGATCCCTGGGAACAACAGTTCTGAATCTGAGTGGGAGGGCAGAAAAGGAGTGGGGGATGGAAATGACTGGGTGTGTGAAAACCACTGGCGAAGCTTTGCTCCTTCCCCCACGGGGGAAAGAAGACACTTTCTAAAACTGTAAGCAGCTAGCCAGAGAGCAGGCAAACCTAAATACATTCTTCCCATTCTGCAGACGAGAAAGCAGGCTTACAGAAGTTAAGCAGCTTGGAGTGAAGGAGTCGGGGCCAACTTGCAGCCCTTCTGTTCTCTGCTCTATGCCCTTTTGTGATTTTACAAGCCCTCTAGGTTGCCCAGGAAGGCTGGAGGGTGCCGAAGAATGAGAATGGCCCGTAATTAGAAAAAGATGCTGGAAGTAGATGCAGGCCAGTTCTCTTATTGCAGCTTCAAATTCCCTAACAATCTCCCCCCCCCCACCCCCGACCCCACCCCATTCCCCAGATGGTCCCATCTACCAGCTCTTCTGTTAACTCTTTCTGGGCCTAAATAATTCAACCCAAAAATCACACCTAGCTATCATCTTCTAGTGACAATAATTTCTTATTTATGATTTTCCTAGTCTTTAAACTACTTAGAACAAACACTGTCCTCATCAGTCCCTGTGTTTTACAGGGTACTCAACGTTTTTTTTTTTCCAAGATGGAGTTACTGAGTGAACAGTAAGAATAGGCAGATGATAAGCCCCGACACAACTCTAAATCTTTAGGCTAAAGCAGGTCAGAAACACATGAGGCTGTGGCATGTGCTCCTCTGGAACTTGAGGCTGGAGCATTGGTTCTCAACCTGTGGGTCCAGAAGGGATCACATATCAGAAATTTACATTAAGATTCATAACAGAAGCAAAATCACAGTGATGATGTAGCCACAAAATAATTTTATGGTTGGGGTCACCACAACATGAAAACTGGATGAAAGGGTTGCAGCATTGGGAAGGTTGAAAACCACTGGGCTGAAGGATCACAAGTTGGAGGCCAGCCTTTACCCAGCAGGCAGGAGCCCTGAGGTCAATCTTCAGGGCTGGGATTTTTAAATTTTCTGTGTTTATTAATAAAAACCCTAACTAAATGAAGATATTCATATTTATTTTATGATTTTTTCATCTACTTTAAGGTTGACTTTAAAAGCAGTAATGTTTTTCCTCTACAAATCATTTAATAGGACTAGAGAGATGGCTCAGTGGTTAAAAATGCTTGCTGCTCTCCCAAGGACCTGTAATCAGATGCAGATACCCAAACACAGACCCATACATACATCATACATACATACACACTACATACATACACACTGCATACATACATACTACATACATACACACACTGTTTTAAAAATAAATTTTAAAATATATTTATTTAAATTTTAAAAGATATTTAATGAATGAAACTTGATGCTTATTACAAAAATATTCCTTCATACTTTCACACAATTTTTCCCTTTCATACAGATTTGCTAACCTACCTCACACTTAATAGTAATTACTGATCTGTTTTATTATTGCTAATCTCAAACATGCAAGGAGAAAGACAGGCAACTCAAGTCATATTGGCCAAATTAATTAAAACAAGCTTTTTGATTGTTTGGCTT